TATTCTGAGGTCCATATCCATATCCACTTCCAGGAAGATTAAAGTTTTTCAGTTGTCTGCAGATTGAAACTAAAAATATTCCATTATATCTTATAAGTTAAACACATTAGACAGTTTATGTAGCAGCTGATAATCTGGAGGGCTATGCTAACAAGGGAATATACCTACATATCACAGCAGAGAATTAGTATATAATCACTGAAATGGGACTTAAGATTTTTTTTTTGGTGGGGGGGGCTTTTACAACATGAAGATAGGGCCTTAAGATTATATGCAGTTTAGATTCTTTCACTAAACACACAAAGAATTATTGATTTGTTCAAGCTCATACTGCTAGTTAATGGATAAGCCAGAAGTAGAATTGTGATTTGTTCTAATTGTTTGGTCCACTGTAGACTACTAACATTTTTAAGATTTTTTTTTTTAATTGTGGTAAAATATACCTAATAAAACTTACCATCTTAACACTACTATCATTTATGTTTTCATTTAGGAACAAGGAAAGGCAACATATCAAACATCAGAGCAGCAAAGGTGAACATACTGCCACAGCACAGATATTAAATCCTAACATTCCATTTTAACAGAAGAGATGTGGTGTTCGCATCAACAGCTCTGCAAAGAAAATTTGCTTTTTCTTCCCACATACAGCATGTGTCACCTACTGTGTAAAGGCCCATTCAGGAGAAACGCCAGTAGTACTAGTCTATGTTTCACTAGTTTAACAGGAAAATTCTATAAAATCTCTCCCTTAGAAGATTCATCTATAAAAATGAATCCATAATAATACGTGACAGGCAAGAAAAAGTACCATCCAACAACCACAGGCATCATCCCCAATTCTATTTTCCTTTATAAGAACAGCTCTTACTATTTCATATATACTTGCTGGTGCCATCATCCCAGCAGTGGTAAAAGATTTTCTTGGTTCTAACCACCTCTTCCTTCCACCATGGTCCAAGCATAAACATACTAAACTCTATCGCTGTATCAAGGTATAGAAATTCACTTTGCAATGTCCTGTTTCTTTACTGTTTCAGATCATGTTACCAAGTATAACTCACTTTCTTCCACCCACTTCCTTCTTTAAACTTTCTCTCCTTGAGAGCCAGTATATATTTCACTAGCAAATCAACTCTTTCTTAGTAGACATTGTACGCATGGGCAGAAACACCATCCAGGCAGTTCATCAAATAACTTCCCTCTTTAGAAAGGATAGAAATGCCCAGTTCTCAACAATTCCACAATTGATTACCCATGGCTGCTTCACTGACTGACATTTCTTGTTGCTTCAGGGACACAACAGTGGCCTGGGAGTCACAGCATGAGGGTTGTGAGCTAATATTCAAAAAACAGTGTGACCTTGAAAAAACTCAGAGGTTTTCTGGGGCTACTTCTTCTTCTATAAATTAACTGCAAAACTAAGATGTTTTTTCTTTCCTTTCTTTTTTTTTTTTGAGACAGAGTCTCGCTCTGTTGGCCGGGCTGGAGTTCAGTGGCATGATCATGGCTCATTACAGCCTCAACCTCCTGGGTTCAACCAATTCTCCACTTCAGGCTCCCAAGTAGCTGGGACCACAGGTGTGAACTGTCATGCTCTGCTAAGTTTTAAAACTTTTGTAGATATGGAGCCTTGCCATGTTGTCCAGGCTGTTCTTGAACTACTGGGCTGAGGAGCTCTTCCTGCCTTGCCCCCGGCTCTAAAATGATTTTTAAATGGTCTTCAAACTTAAAGACTATACCATTGATTATAACATTGCGTATTAATTAGAAAACTTAAAAAAATTAAAAGCCTGGAAGAGTTATAATCTGTTGAATAATTTAATACTTCCATATTCATGTCCTTAAAAGTAACATTTACTAGTGGCAGGTTCATCTTACAGGTCTACAATTTATTCTATGAGAAACTTCTGGGCTGGGTGCAGTGGCTCACACCTGCAATCCCAGCACTTTGGGAGGCTGAGGCAGGTGGATGATGAGGTCAGGAGTTTGAGACCAGCCTGGCCAATATGGTAAAACCTCGTCACTACTAAAAATATTAAAAAATTAGCTGGGCATGGTGGTGCATGCCTGTAGTCCCAGCTACTTGGGAGTCTGAGGCAGAAGAATTGCTTGAACCCGGGAGGCAGAGATTGCAGCAGGCCGAGATCATGCCACTGCACGCCAGCCTGGGCAACAGAGCGAGTGAGACTCCATCTCCAAAAANAAAAAAAAAAAAAAAAAAAAAAAAAAAAAAGCAGCTTCTGAACAACGAAGATTACAGAATTTCTTCTTGCTTGGCCCATAAGTATTAGGGATACGGCACCAACACCAAGGAACATTTTCTTTCTATATAAAAACAACGTTTTTGTGGATTTTCTATATTAAAGTTTCCACGCTGTTCTGACTCTGAAATTACAACAGAGACAGTAACAGAAACTACACGAAAAGAAAAAGTGAAATATCTGCTTAGAGCATAGGGGAAACACTCATCAGCTGCCAGAGCTTGAAAATCATTTAACTGCCATTGTGGGTGATCTGACTGATACATTGCACAGGTGCAATAAATAAAGAGTTTTAAGACGACAATTGAGTAGGCAGGGGTTTCCCTGCTTATGAGCTAGTCTCATGCTGTACCTTCATCTCATGGTGCTGGTCCAGCTGCTCCAGGTCCAGAGGGCTTTCCCCATTTTCCCTCTCTTGTACCTTGGCTTCAGTTTCTGCCCCTCCTTCTTCTAGGGGGAGCACTGGGCCTATGCCTGGAGTCCTGTAGCTACTGCCAGAAGCATTTCCATCGCAGTCATTTGTTGTGGGTGATGCAGGAGCCGTGGCAGTTTCATCTCTTTCTCCATTCACTATGTGCGTATCAAGCAAGGGTTCAGAGGCCTGAATAGAAATATCTGGGCTAAAAGTGGCAGCTTTCTCCTCCTCACATTCCATCTGGTTTTGTGCTGCCATTACACCGTTGGCCACACAAGTCTGTGCACCCTGAGTCTGATCTGTATCATTGCCCTTCCTCCGTGGCAAGTGCTGGGACAGGAGTTTTTGCTGAGGTGTGGTTGTCAATCCATGCCTTCCCGGGGTTCTAGGAACATTTAGGTTCACAGCAGAATCTTTCTTCAAATCACTATAATTTGATAATGAGCTAAAAGATAAAATACAAAGGAGGCATGAAAACATTGGCATGGAAAAGTTCTAGAGTTAAGACAAGTTTATTCCAGTTGAAAAGGAACATTTGCTGATTTTTTTTCTATCTCTGATGGTTTTAGAAACACAGATTTGAATACTCTCAGTGTAGCCCCACGTCTCTTTGGGTGCTATCCACATTTAAATAAACATTTAAATAAAGAAGATGACCCTGAGCTCTACCTATGGGGACTGAAACATTTCCTTGGGTTATTTATTTATTTATTCAACACTTAACTTTTCTTGATCCTTGTACTGTTTAATAACGTGACTAGCTAGTAAAGACTTAGACATAATACTTATATTTAATAAAATAATTTCTTCCTAACATTTTTACTTACTGATCTTTCTTAACATTTTTAAATAGGTGTAGCCAGTCCTTAATTTATGAGCAAATTATGAACCAACAAGTTACTTTTATTTGGAAGGCATAATGCATACTCTCAAAACGTTTTTATTCATGCTGCCATAGCCTTTTAACTGGTCTCTTTTTCTACTCCAATCCCCTACAATAGAACCTCTGCAAGTCAGTCACAAAACTCTGAGGGCTTCCTCATACACTCAGGGGAAAACTAAAGTCCCAAAGACAGCCTATGATATTCTACATACTCTAGTTCCCAGAGTGCCTGGCCTCATTAGATTCCATTCTTCCCTAAGTGTGTTCTTGCCATACTCCTTGATGCTCCCCATTCTTAATACCCAAGTGTGTGTGTCTTGGGGTCCTTGCAGCTGCTGTTCTCTGCTTAGGACAATCTCCCCCCAAACACTGGTATTCCTTCTCACCATTCAGGTTTCTGCTCAGATAACACTTCTCCAAAGAGGCTTTCCTAGATTCACCTCTCTATAACTAACAGCACTCTCCATCACTAACTCCACATCTTATTTTATTTTTCTTTAAAGTCCTTATTACTGCTTGACATAATAGTAGTCCTAATAGGAGAATGAAACTTACTCCCAAGATAGAACAATATTCCTATAGAAATATTTGCACAGATTTTAATCTAGGATTCTGGGAGTGGGGTGGGGAATGGAACACAAAACTCTGGGCTACAAGTTCAAAGATTCCTGTGACCTAAATGAGAAGAAATTAAGCAACTAAAACTTGGTGAGGGTGCAGACTTGCTCTCTGCTTTATTCTTACCTCTTAGCATGGTGCCTGACACAGGGGAAGTACTCAATAAATATTTGATGAGCTTTGAATAACCATGATAATGATGATGATTATGACAATAATAACAGCTGGAAACACTTCTTAAGTGCTTACTAAGAACCACAAACTACACAAAGCCCCTTACAATAATTATATTGTTTCATCCTCACAATAATTCCAAAGACAGGGATCCCACAGAGAAATCTAGGCTTCAAAAATTAATGTGGCCAGTGTCACATGGTAACAAGCGGAAAAGCCGGAGCTCAAACATGAATCCAACTCTAAATCCCTTGGTCTTCGCCCCAAGTTACGATGTCCTGGAGCAGAAGGACAGAATAAGCGTCAGGTGAACAGGCTGCAGTCAAAATGTGGGAAGAAAGTCTAGGGCTGATTATCTTCCCCAGTGCAGGTCATGGAATAAAAGGAGGTGGGGAAGGAAACAGCAAGCAGCCCAGTCCCAAGGACAATGCTCAGATGTGTCACCTTCGCTTTTACTCCACCCTTCCCAGTCACTGCTGATCTGGACTAGAGCATGAAACAGGGAATAAAAGTAGACAGCAAGAAAGTGATGAGGGAGGAAAAAAGATACAGGTAAAGTCCAACACCAGAGGAAAGAAAGCAATAAACTGAGTAGGCGAAAATGTCATATATATAAAACTTGGAGGTGGGCAATTTTTTTTTTTGTGAGATGGAGTCCTGCTCTGTCACCCAGGCTAGAGTGCAATGGTGCGATCTCAGCTCACTGCAACCTCTGTCTGCCGGGTTCAAGCGATTCTCCAGCCCTAGCCTCCCAAGTAGCTGGGACTACAGATGTGTGACACCATGCCCGGCTAATTTTTTGTACTTTTAGTAGAGACGAGGTTTCACCATGTTAGCCAGGATGGTCTTGATATTCTGACCTCGATCCACGGAGGTGGGCAATATTTAAATGTTATACATTCTTGAATTGAGATTTGCCCCCGAGAAGAGGACATCTTTGGCCTAGCTAATTTCCAAAGTAGTTTTTAGAGATTTTAATCAAACTGTCCTCCTCCTGCCCACATCAGTCTCTGGGTTCCCTGGTGGAAAGATCCTCAACAGATCCTCTGAAACAAATTTAAGCATTTTCAGATCTTGTCTAAAGGATGGCTTTGAATGAGAGCTGCAAATGTCCCATAATAAGTAACATCAAGGGTATGAGTGGGAGGGAGGGAAGGAGACAGGGAAGGATTAGGTGGGTAAGGAGTTAGTAAAATCAGTAGTTGAACCAGTACTTGGATTCCTGCTGCTTTGTGGATGCCAAACCATAAGGGAAAATAGCTGACCTTGGAGTATCCATGGCAAAAACCAGTGTTCAGGTCTACAGAAACATAATCTTATTTCTAAAATCTTAAAGTCTTTCCTCGGTCAAAAAGAGTACTCTCTCTTACTCTGAAAAAGAGAAATAAAGAGGAACAGGAGAAAGAAAGAGAGGAAAGAAAGAAGGAAGGAAGGGGAAGGGGAAGGGGAAGGGGAAGGGGAAGGGGAAGGGAAGGGAGGAAGGAAGGAATGGAAGAGAAAGAAAGAAAACCACAGTAAAAATGAAAGAAAATCTACTTGTTCCCAATCTCTCATCTTAACAAAATGGTGTTACTTGGAATTTTTTTTTTTTTTTAAGGCAGGGTCCCACTCCATCACCTAGCCTGGAGTGCAGTGCCACAATCTCAGCTCACTGCAGCCTTGACCTCCTGGGCTCAAGCAATCCTTTCACATCAGGAAGGACCAAGTAGCTGGGACCACATGCTTGCACCACCCAAGTACTAGCTGGGACCACATACGTGCACCACCATGCCTGGCTAATTTGTGTATTTTTTGTAGAGACAGGGTTTTGCCATGTTGCCCAGGCTGATCTCAAACTCCTGAGCTCAAGCAATCCAACACTATGGCCTCCTAAAGTGCTGGGATTACAGACATGAGCCACCACATCTAGCCACGTAAGGTCTTAACAACAGTATGATATGACCATTATGACTAGACTCCACTCTAACAGATGTTGGTTCTTCCTATCAATTTCCTGTGACAACTAAGAACCTCTCTGTAGTTTACAAAGCTAGTCTAAGCTCTCATAAGGAGGGCTAAAACTGAAAATGACCCTTGCAAAGACAAAGGCATCGCTCAACAGTAAATACAAATCTTGTACTGAAGTTCTGTAGATCCAATGCAGTTATTAACCCACTCACACACTTTTGGGACCAGTCTGTAGTGGTAATACCTTACTGAGAACATATCACTTTTTTTCGTATTGGCAGTGGATTCTGCCACAAATAATATTTCTTCACCAGACCTGTCAAAGCACACTATACCCAATTTGCACAGAACTTGCTTTAAAAAAAATCATAAATCATAGCATATTTTTCCTTAGATGAATTAAAACTTCAACCTTTGCATCAAAACAGGACTGAATTTGTGAAGCTTGAATGATTAAAAAACATTAAGTGGAAAAAGTACAAACATTTCACATGCAGAGGAATCTAAAACAATGCAGAGTGGGTTAACCAAAATGGCGAGGATGAGAGGACGCAGCCTTTGGAATACTGATCCTTTTAAGGTTTCAGAAAGTTATCCCTGAAACCTAGGGATGCAGGCTCTGACATGCTTTTGTTGTTATTAAGTCAGGGCTCCAGCCCCTCCTTCTATTATGCAGTCACTAGGCATGGCCCCTGGAATTTGCAAACACGAGGGGTCACTTTGTTGTTACTAAGTCAACTTAACCCCGAGCAGCAAAAAAAATGTTTTGAATGGAATTAAACCGTTCTAGTAAAGATCACTGTAATCTAAGACAGCAAAGGTCTTGTAAATCCTACTTCAGAGGAGGAGATGCTGAAGTTTAAATATTTATGACCAAAGTTCCTACAATTTGAAGAGGTTTCTAAGTTAATTTTCTCCAGAACTTGTAACTTTGTAAAATAGAGGGAGGCTCTGAGTTGTTTACAGGAAATTGATAGGAAGAACCACCATGTGTTAGACCCATTTTTAAAAATGAGGGACACTGCAGGTTTTGTGCTTGGTCACAATTCCCAGAAGATACTCAAACTATTTCCACGTTATAATTTCATTACATAAGTAATAGTAAATCTCACAAATAAATAATAAAATCACCCTAATAGGAAACAAGTCTCAAATATTACACTGGAATGAAAATATTTGTTTTCAAGGATAAAAGTGAAGTTATATACATTCTGTTTATTATACATAGACTTTTGATGGCAGATAATAAAATCCTATTGATAAATTTTTTAAAAATTACATTTAAGTCAGCAATGAAATTTATCAACAGACTAAGAAAATTAAATAAATGAGAGTTTTATAAGGGGAAAAGCATTTTAAGTGGGTTTCTGTTTATCTTTAAAAATGAGAAATATAATATTTCACCTATCTTGTTTTTTAGAACACTGGGACTAAAGAATACATATAAAACTGAAATTTAACATACATTTTGCTATTGGTAATATCTCTTTTAAAACCTGTAATATGATGGAGTATGTGGAGAGAAGAAACAGAGACTGAATGGGTATAGAAGATCCACATTAAATAAAATGGGTCAGAAAGAAGAGAGGGCCTAGGGAGGAGACAAGCACACAGGGGTCACATTCACGAACACACACAGTGAGAAACGAAGAGATAGAGGCCACTGCTCAGCCATTCCAACCCAGATATCCAGTGTCCCACAGAATGACCCACAAGGAGCAACACATAGAGAATGACACACAGAGATACAGAGGCAACAAGAGAAAGCACACAGATACAAAAGCACACAATTTCATGAAAAAGTTGGTGGCCTACAGTGCTGCACATAGGTAATACATTGTAAATGACAGTGCATATTAGAGCAAGATTAAGTCACTGGTTTTAAAAATTCACCCTTTCTAAAGGCCTACCATACCTAATGGAATAAAATACTCTATGCTTTTTATTTAGAAAACCTATAACTATCACTTTTTTGAAAATCAGCTTTCTTCTTCCCCTGCCTTGTCCCATTGTAAATTAGCTCTTACCTGCCTCCTTCAAAGCGACTGATGAGATCTGATACTTTACTGGGTTTTTCTTTTGAGACACAAGAAGCAGAGGCAGGTTTAATTTCCTCCATCCTTGGTTTTGCACTAGGTAAAGCTTTATGCTTGGGGGTTTGGTGTATATTGGACGAAGGTGAATTCTGCAGGTGTAATGGCTTTGGAGGCACTGTAGAAAAAGAATAGAATTCAGTATTTCACTGATATTTTGTTCAATAACAGTAGAAAGTCTTGTGTCCTGGGTACAAAAATATTCAGCATTATAGAACCATTGTATGGTGGGGGGTGTCAAATTTTGAACTAAACCATAACCAAACAACTTTTGTTCCTCTTGGACATTTGCTTCGTGCCTTTTGGAAATCCCATCTCCTAACTTAATTGGTTCTTTTCATTTTATTGCATCTTAAATATGGCAATATTAAACACCTAGGAATATACATAAGGCTAAAGCATTCTAAGATCTATTACAGATAACACAGCAGTTATTCATCTAAATAGGGAAAAGGTGGTGCTAAATTTAAAACCAAATCCTAGAGACACATCATCTGCTACAAAACAGATTTTCTAATACAGTAGAGTGATAATAGATATAACAGAAACCACAGCTAATGAGTTAAACAACATAAAAGCCAACAAAACAACAACAAACAACATTAATACAATGTTGCAATAACACAGGTCCATTTAAGGAAAGCATTTTATATCATTTGATCTTTGATGAAATTTTATACTTTATAAGGTCTCTGAGGTAGGTACCACTCTTCTCCTCTTATGTCTATGAAAGCTTAGAGAGGTTAAGTGACTGGCCTGGGGTTAACAGGCCTGATCTAATTTTATGGCTGGTATCCAGACTTTGCTCTTTCCATTACTAGCACTGTGCCTCATCATAAATGCAGCAAAAGCAGTGAAGGAGCCGGTGTGGTGGCTCACACCTATAATCCTAGCACTTTGGGAGACTGAGGTGGGTGGATGACTTGAGGTCACGAGTTCAAGACCAGCCTGGCCAACATGGTGACACCCCATCTGTACTAAAAAAAAAAAAGTACAAAATTAGCCGGGTGCGGTAGTGCATGCCTGTAATCCCAGCTACTCAGGTGGCTGAGGAACATGAATCACTTGAACCTTGGAGTTGGAGGCTGCAGTGAGCCAAGATTGCACCACAGCACTCCAACCTGGGTGACAGAGCGAGACCTTGTCTCAAAAAAAAAAAAGAAAAAAAAAAGCAGGTGAAGGGATAAAGAAGTTTTACTATCACTGTCTGCTATGTTACAGAGTTGGTGCTACAGGTTTGGATGTTTGTCCCCTCCATATCTCATGCTGAAATCTGGTCCCTAATGTTGGAGGTGGGAACTATGGGAGGGATTTGAGTCATGGGCGCAGATCCCTCATGAATGGCTTGGTAGCATTCTTGCCATAGTGAATAGGTTCTCTCTCCATTAGTTCCTGCAAGACTGGTTATTAAAGAGCCTGACACCTCCCCGTCTCTCTTGCTTCCTCTCTCTCCATGCGATCTTTACACATCCTGACTGCCCTATACCTTCTGCCATGAGTGGAAGCAGTCTGAGGCCCTCACCAGAAGTTAAGCAGATGCTGGCACTGTGCTACGTGTACAGCCTGCAGAACTGTGAGCCAAAGAAGCCTCTTCATAAATTACCCAGCATCAGGTATTTTCATGTAGCAACACTAAACAGTGTAAGACGGTTGACCTGCATCAATATTCCACAAATCATCTGCTTACTTCCTAAGTCCTCCAATAAATTAATAGGATAAAAACAGATTACTTCATGAAATACTAAAATCTACAGAATTTCCCTAACACACTGTAGATGATAAAATATAATATGCCATAAGTGCACAATCAGTACAAAAATTACTTTCCTTTTGAAAACCAGTATTACTTTTCTCTAAGATTAACATTCAGGATAACATATTATAACATGTAGGTATTTTTTAATAAGCGGTGTTGACAGATCAAATAGAATCATCTTTTTTCTTCTTTAAATCCTTTCCTTACCTTCTGGAAGAAGGATGAGAAATCATGTCGCCTCCTAATTACATGCCCCATTTTCCCTCAGCTGGTTTCCCTGGTTTTTAGTGATCTCGTCTCTTTTATAAACTCAGCTGACAGTTGGCTCATGCTCACTGGCCTAGATTTCATCATTTCGGTGCCAGTTATCAATTTATTATAGGGAAGGAAGAAAAGTCACAATGAACTACAAGTGGAGCAATTAATTCACTTAATTCCCTTCAATACAAACAAGAAGAAAATCTCAATTTAAAAAGGGCATGCTTCTTTTTGTGAAAATGGTATTTTCCAACATATGTCTGTGTGTGGGGGGTGATTAATATAGTATCATTTTGAAACAAAGGGGCTTATATAAGTGGAATATTTGTTAAGTTTACTGAAAAAACTCCTGTGTAGAATAAATATGTACTAATGTAGCAAAACAGGAAAATCTCCCATCAAAAAACCCTTTTAACATTAGGAGTAATAAATATGAACTAATGCAGTAAAACAGAAATGTCTCCCACCAAAAAAAAAGGAAATCTCTTAAGGTCATGAATAATTCAACATTCTTAACTAGAATACTAAAAGAAGGAAGTGAATATAATTTGTGTGCTAAATTTGTTATGAAATAACTCATCCATCTACCTAGAGCTTACTCGCTAAACATGCCCTATTTGTTATGTGCCAGATGGGTGAAAAACTAAAAAACAATGATACCTATCACTTTCTCAGGGATAACTCCACCCACTTTCCCAATCTAAATTTTGTCCATCTCTTACACTGTTTCATAAGCACTGTGTACTTTCTCCAAATTGCTTATCACAATTTGTGGTATAATTATCAAATACTTAGTAACAAGTAGCACTAAATAATAAAGCTGCAGTAAAATACTAAATATATTACAGACTTAAAGTTTTTTTCTTTCCTCCACAAGGCAGGAGTTGATGAAGGTAAGGAATATACCACTTTTGATCACAGGAACATCTAATGCAGGACTAAAAGAAAAAGAAATCTTGTATGCTATGTACTTACGATGTGAAAAAATCCAATTCCAGATAAAAACCAAGATCTCATGTTTCAATTTAATAGTCTGTACCCAAAAGAAATGAACAGATGTGGCAGGTGTAACCCAGGAACTGATACTTAAATTACTGAGATTAAATTTCTCTTCATGGCCAGCTTTCTTAGTTTCTGGGCAACCAGACAAATTGCAGCCATCCTTTGCATCTCTTGTATGTTTTTGCTCTGCTAATCTGTTTTTATGTCAGCTTAATTCGAAGGTCCACCTGGAAACTTAAAGGGTAGAGGAAAACTTTTCCTCCCTTACATATACAAGATCATGAATTACAAAGGACCAGTAAATCCTTTGCATCATCCAGATTATGAAGACTACATTATAAAGCTAAAATGAAAATAAAAATCTAAAGCTAAATAAATAACGATTTTATCAAACAGACAAATATTCACTGTTTAAAAAGTTTTCCCAAATGAGTTCTATAAGGGAAAAGATGATAAATTGTACGCGATATTCTAAGGATGCAGTTTATTATTAGTCTCTTATTGGCATTACAGATAATGAGAATGGGTAGACTCTAAAGCTCCAATTCCTCCTCTTCTTGATATTCCAATTATTTATTTATTTAGATTTTTTCCCCTTTCTTCAGATACAATATTAATTCTACAGATCAATAGTGTGACATTTAAAAGAAGCAATACCATTTCCAGATTTGGGTTTCACATTCTGAGAACAGTGTAGTATGCAAATACAGTCTTTTCCTACTTGATTGTTAAGCTCTCTAGAGCAGTAATATTTTCAGGTAAAAGATGCCCTGAATCCAAATACCTCCTACTATAACATTTACTTAGCTGAGTAAGATTAGCTAAGTACAATTCTGCTACAATATGAACAATCAGAATCATATTGGTAGGTACCTTATTATATATTGAGAGCTAAATGAAAACATGTCTATTGGAAAGCCACAACAGTAGGTTCATTTTCTTTTCTATTTATCTTATATGTGTGTGTGTGTACACACACACACAGACAGGGTCTTGTTCTGTCACCCAGGCTGGAGTGTACTGATGCAATCATGTCTTATTGTAACTTCAAACTCCTGGGCTTAAGTGATACTACATCTCAGTCTCCAGAGTAGCTGGGATGACAGGTGAGAGCCAACCCTCCTGGCTTCATTTTCTCTTGAAATAGATTTCCTGGGAACTTTCTTAGTGCTTGCCTCATCTCTACTCCCCGACTCCTATGCAGCCTAGATTCCAGACACATTGCATTACATCTTCTATTGTAAGCTTGGTAAGTTTTTCTCAGTCTTCAGGTGTTTGCACATACCTACAATGGTCCGCTTGGCAAACTTCCATAATTCCCACAAAGCTCACCCCAGCCATCAACTCTTTTTCAGAAGGCTTACCTGACTATTCCACCTCTTGCCCTCCCACCCTGCGTCAAAAATCTTCAAGTATCTTCTCAACTAACATTTGTCATTTTGTTTTATAATATTTTATAACCAGGGTTGCCTCCCTAGACTTCTGAGTTCCTTGAAGAACAGGAAATGAGTCTCATCTTTGTTTCCATGATTATAGGTTAACATTCAACTCTTTTTGTTGTTGTTGAGACAGAGTCTACTCTGTCACCCAGGCTGGAGTACAGTGGCACAATCTCAGCTCATTGCAACCTCCGACTCCCAAGTTCAAGTGATTCCTGTGCCTCAGCCTCCCAAGTAGCTGGGATTACAGGCGCCTGCAATCATGCCCAGTTAATTTTTGTATTTTTAGTAGAGACAGGGTTTTGCCACATTGGTCTCAAACTCCTGACTTCAGGTGATCCACCTGCCCCGGTCTCCCAAAGTGCTGGGATTATAAGTATGAGCCACCTTGCTCAGCTACATTCAAGTCTTAAGGAAGACCACTATTTCATAAAACGAATTCATTATATAATCTTACTGCTCCTGTCAAAGACTGAAAAAGTAACACACTGCTACTTTGAGAAGTAAATGACCAGAAAAATATTTAAAAGCACATGAAAGAACCCTACCAATGAAAGAAAGCACTCTGTAATCGCACAAGATTAACATATATAAGACATCTATTTTTAAGATAACTATGTAACATCAATGTGAAATTTTCTCAGGATACAAAGTTTCAAAATACAAGAATGGCCTTCATCTGCCCCTCTCCTTGTTCAGCCTTCTTTGGCTCTTCTACAATGCCCTGTGAAGAACTGGAGCTTACAGACCCAGATAAGAGTTTTGTATTATATAAAAGGAAGAAAGGAATAATAATCAGAATAAAAATCTCTGACACAGTGGCTCACGCTTGCAATCCCAGCACTTTGGGAGGCCAAGGGAGATGGATCACCTGAGGTCAGGAGTTTGAGACCAGCCTGGCGAGCATGGCAAAACCCTGTCTCTGCTAAAAATACAAAAATTAGCTGGGTGTGGTGGCACATGCCTGTAATCTCAGCTACTCAGAATCTGAGGCAGGAGACTCACTTGAATCTGGGAGATGGAGGTTGCAGTGAGATGAGATCATGCTACTGTAGTTCAGCCTGGGCAACAGATAGCCTGCCTCAAAATAAAAATAAAAAACTCCTAAGCACTATTAACTAAAAGACCTAACAACCCAAAGGATATAGATAGGAAAAATAGTGTTCACCCTCACTTATTAGTATTTCAGGGAAATACAAATTAAATGCATAAGCTGATACCGTTTTGACCAGATCAAATGAACTAGAATTTTAAATCTGACAATACTGTCAGTGAAGATATGAAGCAATGTGAACAACACGTTTTTGATGAGAGTATAAATTTACAAAACCATTAAGAATTTAGCATTTTAAAAATATTTATCATTGAGCAATTCTTTTTCTTTTTCTTTTTTTTTGAGATGGAGTTTTGCTCTTGTTACCCAGGCTGGAGTGTAATGGCACGATCTCGGCTCACTGCAACCTCCACCTACTAGGTTCAAGCAATTCTCCTGCCTCAGCCTCCCAAGGAGCTGGGACTACAGGTGTGTGCCACCATGACCAGCTAATTTTTATATTTTTAGTAGAGACGGGCTTTCACCATGTTGACCAGGATGGTCTTGATCTCTTAACCTCATGATCCACCTGCCTTGGCCTCCCAAAGTGTTAGGATTATAGGCGTGAGCCACCGCGCGCAGCCCATCGAGCAATTCGTATACCTCTATATAGGGTGTTTATTTTCATTTATTCATTAATTAAATGAATATTTATTGAATACCTATTTTTAAAATTTTTCTTTTTCTTTTTTTTGAGACAGTGTCTTGCTCTGTCGCCAGGCTGGGGTGCAGTGGCATGATCTTGGCTCACTGCAACCTCTGCCTCCCGGGTTCAAGTGATCCTCCTGCCTCAGCCTCCCGAGTAGCTGGGACTACAGGCATGCACCACCACGCCCAGCTAATTTTTCGTATTTCTAGTCGAGATGGGGTTTCACCATGTTAGCCAGCATGGTCTCGATCTCTTGGCCTCAAGATCCACCCACCTCGCCCTCCCAAAGTGCTGGGATTTACAAGCGTGAGCCACCACACCTGGCCTTGAATACGTATTAGGTTCTAGGCACTTAAGCCTATCAATGAGCAAAGGAAAAATAAACCAAAAAAAGCAAGTAAATCATTTATCATTTATCGGAAGGAGGTAAGTGCTAGGAGAAAACGTGGTAAGGGTTATAAGAACAAGATAAACACAATCCAGAGCATGGGAACTCAAAGGGAGGGCAGACTTCTATCTTAAATAGGGTGTGCAAGGTTAGGCCTCTGTGAAGCTGGGATTTGAGTAAGCCTTCAAGTGAAAGGAACAGCTTCTGTTTGCGGAAAGGCTTTCCAGCAGGTGGAATGAGAGCCAGGGACAGCTGGGCTCTGGAGGCCAGCAGGACTGGAGCAGAATGAGCATGTGGGCAAAAGCAGGGCAGAGGGAGGCCAGAGAAAGTAGACTCTGGACCACTTATTTTGAGGTTGCATGAAATGAGAAGTCCCCGCAGGGTTCTGAGCTGAAATGTGACATGATATAACTTAACTTGCAGCAGGACCACTCTGGCAGCTGTGTTGAGAATGTAGAGGAGAACAGGGGAGAAATAGGGTGGACAATTAAGCAGTTATTGTAGAAATTCT